GGCTACTAGAATACTTAACATTACAGTCATGGCTCCCATTCTATATTTTGGAGAGCCCTGGTCTAGATAATTTGCTTATTTATTTATTTAAGTACTGGTGATGAAACCCAGGGCCTCTGCATGCTAAAGTGCTCCACCATTGAGCTATACCCCCAAACCTAATTTGCTTATTTATTATTGATCATTGTCTCCCTTACCCACCCAGACAGAAGGCCTACTCTTTGAAAGGCAGGTATTATAACATATTTTATTTACTTTCTCGTTTTCATTTTTGTTCAGTTTGTTTGTTTTTTTTTGCTTCGATATTGGAATTTAACCCAGGGGTGCTTTACCACTGAGCTACATCCCTTGTTGTTTTTCTTTTTTGAAATAGGGCCTGGCTACATTCTGAGGCTGGCCTCCAACTTGCAATTCTCCTGCCTCAGCCTCCAGTCACTGGGATTTACAGGGCCATTGCACCCAGCTATATGGCAGGTTTTTAAGAGCCTGGCACTTAGTAGGTAAATATTTCTGTAATTGAATCAAACTGATGGGTTCCAGGACAACCTAAGAGGGCTGGAAGAGTCCGAAGTGGCAGAGCTTCATACTTGGTCCTCCGGACTCTGTGGGACCGCAAGTTGTCAGCTTCCTGGCACACCCCACAAGGCCCCATTGGGTGTCAGGGAAGACCCCAAGGGGTCCTTGACACCCATCGCGGGCTTGCGATCTGGTCGCAGGGGACCATGCCGGCTGGGGGGCACTCACTGCACCTTTGAGAAGCTGGGAGGGAGCAAGACCGAGCTTTGGGGCTGCGGAGCACAGGGCGGCTGGGACCCTCCAGGGTTCCTCTCCGGCCATCCCGGAGGCAGCACGGGCCCCGCCTGGCCCTGCGGGCCGCGGGCCGCGTACCTGGGAGCGGCGGGCGGCCGCGGCCTCGGCGGCGCGGGGCGTGGGTGCAGTGGTTTGCGGGGAGGCCGTGGGCGAGGGGTGTGTAGGGCTCGGGCTCACACAAGGTCACTGTGTCAAAGGAGCATTTCGGACACTTTCTCTTTCCTGCGACTCCACTGCGGCTCCGAAAGCCCCTTCCGCAGGGACTTCCCTCCGCGCCTGACTCACGCTGCCTCATGCGTGTGACTCAGGCCGGCGCCGCGCCAGCCCTGCTCCCGCCCCGCGCCCGCCACCCAGCCCGCCGCCGCGGGGACGCGAGGGCCCGGGCCGCGGGGGGCGCCGCGGGGGTGGGAGGGGAGCCCGGGCCGGGGGTGGCCGGGGGTGGCCCGGGGTGGCCGAGCGTGGGCGGCCCGCGGGGCAAGGGGTGGGGCTGAGGGGCGCGGGTCGAGGCTGCGGAGCTGCAGAGCGGAGCGGGAGGATGGCGAGCGGAGAGGGAGCCCCCGCGGGGAGAGGCCGGGAGGGCACGGCAGACGGAAGGCCGGGAAGAGAGGTCCAAAGGGGGGACTAGGAAAAAGGGGCGAGGCCTTCAGTCTTGCCAGGGGTGAGGGCGGCCTTGGGGACAGGACTCCGGGCCATGCCCGACCTGCCACCCAGGGACAGGGGTGGGCTGTGCGGGAAGCCTGGCCGCGGAGGCCTGCGAGCCTCCCCTCCAACCCCATCTCCCAGTTCCCTGACGGCAGGCAAGTCCCCGCAGGTCTCCGCACCGCCATCTGCCCATCTGCAAAATGGATTGGGGCCTGGGATGGCGGCACTGCCCTGGAACCCCAGCCACAGCCACTTGTTTGGGGGAGGCAGGAGGATGGCGGTTCAAAGGTGGCTGGGGAGGGAGGCCCGGTCTCAAAATGAGATTTGAAAGTCTGGGGACGTAGCTGGGTGGTGGAGCACTGGTCTGCGCGCAGGGGGCCCTGGGTTCACTCCCCAGAACCAGAAAAACAGGAACGCAGCGACAAAGAGAGGGATGGGAGGATTATCCTGCCCCCTGGGGCCTATTATCCTCCCTTGCCCACCTGTTGTTCCTCTGTCCCCTCCTTCCAACCGGCGCTGCTGACTTCTGGGCCTGGTCCTCAGGTTCCCTTGCAGCTGGATTCCTGTCCAGCACCCCACCCAGGAGATGGGTGGGAGTGGGGAGAGATGGAGACAGGTGGAGCAGAGTGCCTCTGTGCCTGCCCTGGCTCGGTTCTGGTTCCTGGCCTGGGTGCAGCTTGTCCCTCTGATGGCATCTAGGGGATTTTCCCGTTTTCATTTCAGCCTTGGAGGTCCCAGTGCCTCCCCAGCATGGCTGGGCCTCTTCACCTGCCAGAACTTCAGCTGAAGCTCTTGACCCTCTGGGTTGGATTCCATTTCCTGCCCAGGCCTTGACAGCCACACAGCAGGGGGCATGAAATGCGGCAGCCCAGGGTTTGGAGTTTTGTAAGTGCTCAACAAATCAATCGGAGCTCTTAGCTTTCCATCCTGCTCCTGCCCCAAGCATAGGGGAGAGATGATCATTATGGAAGTGGTCAGCCTAAGCAAGGACACCTGTCACTCTTCCAATCCTCACATGAGTCTGTGAAGCAGGGATGGGGAATTAGCTTCCCTCAGATGAGAAAAACAGGCTGAGACATTTAACAAGCAATGAGGGAATAAGAGCAGCGACAGCAATCTGGCTGTTTCCCATGGGTAATGGGCCAGATCTGGGAGGAGACAGCTTTGAGTGACAAGAATAGTAGCTAACATATAGCCACATTTCTCAAGGGCCAGAGAGTTCTGTACCCTTATAACTCAGTGAGGTGGCTGTTCTTACTGCCATTTTGCAGTTGAGGTAACAGGCACAGAGAGGTTAAATAACTTTTCCAAGGCCACCCAGTAAAAGTGAAGTGAAGGGGCTGGGGATGTGGCTCAAGCGGTAGTGCGCTCGCCTGTCATGTGTGCGGCCCAGGTTCGATCCTCAGCACCACATACAAACAAAGATGTTGTGTCTGCCGAAAACTAAAAAACAAATATTAAAAATTCTCTCTCTCTCCTAAGGACCCCTATGGGGTGTGAATCAGGCTGGGCGGAGAAGGGTCAGCCAAGTAAACACCTGCATCTAAGCCCAGTGGGAAGCCTGGGCAAAGGCTTGGAGGGGAAAGAGCTCACCTAGTGGGTTTCAAAAATAGCCAAGGAGCCACATGGTGAGGCAGCCTGTAATCCCAGAGACTCAGGAGGCTGAAGCAGGAGGATCACAAGTTTGGGGCCAGCCTCAGCATCTTAGTGAGGCCCTAAGCAACTTAAGCAAGACTCTATCATCAAAATAGAAAATTAAAGGCTGGGTTTAGGGGCGCATGCCTGTAATCCCAGCTGCTCAGGAGGCTGAGGCAGGAGGATAGCGAGTTCAAAGCCAGCCTCAGCAATTTATTGAGACCCTAAGCAACTCAGTGAGCCCCTGTCTCTAAATGAAATACAAAAAGGACTGGGGATATGACTCAGTGGTTAAACACCCCTGGGTTCAATCCCTGGTGCCAATAAAAAAATATATATATATATATATATATACTGGGTAGCCATGGGAGGTTTTTTTTAGCAGGGGTGGGGCATGTTGGTATTTTGGAAAGAACTACTCTGAAATTCACAGGAAATACTCTATTTTCCTGTTGAGTGCAAAGAGCTTTAAGTGGTCATGCTCAGTGCTGGCTCTGCTAAAGCCTGATGAGTCCTCACACACATCACTGATGGCAGTGGCTTGGTGACCTTTCTGGAAAGCCACTGAGCCATGTGTTGACCTCCTAATTCCATTTCTAGGAATCTCTCCTCTGACATATTTAGTAAAAGGGTCAGAGATTTATTTCCCAAATAATTAATCTAAAATTAATTTCTTTTTTTTTTTTTTTTTGGACCTACACACCACACACAGGGTTCTAACAGCACTAGGCCACTAAGCCACATCCCCAGCCCTATTTTGTATTTTATTTAGAGACAGGGTCTCACTGAGTAGCTTAGCTCCTCCCCATTGCTGAGGCTGGCTTTGAACTCTGGATCCTCCTGTCTCAGCCTCCCGAGCTGCTGGGATAACAGGTGTGCATTGCTGCGCCCGGCTTTAATTGCATAATTTTTATAATAATAAAGGAAAACAACATTAATGTCCAGAAAGAGAGGGAATTGTTGAAATAAATTAAGAACAAGGGACTGGGGATATAGCTCAGTTGGTAGAGTGTTTGCCTCACATGCACAGGGCCCTGGGTTCAATCCCCAGCACCACAAAAAAAAAAAAAAAAAAAAAAGACTTTGATAGGGGCTGGGGCTGTCGCTCAATGGCAGAGGGCTTGCCTAGCACATGTGAGGTACTGGGTTTGATCCTTAGCACCAGAGAAAAATAAACAAATAAAATAAAAGCATTCTATCCATACACAACTACAAAAAATTAAATAAATAAAATAGAAAAATAATGAACTATGATAACATGTTTTATAGAATTAACCTGACTTTTGGGGCTGGGGTTGTGACTCAGTGGTAGAGTGCTTGCCTCACATGTGTGAGGCTCTGGGTTCCATCCTCAGCACCGCATATAAATAAATAAATAAAATAAAGGTTCCATCAACAACTTAAAAAAAAGAATTAACCTAACTTTTTCTTTTGGTACCAGGGATTGAGCCCTGGGGTGCTTAACCACTGAGCCACATCCTCAGCCCTTGTCATTTTAAAAATCTAAGACAGGTTCTTGCTAAATTGCTTAGGGCCTTGCTAAGTCACCTAGGCTAGCTTTGAACTTTGGATCCTCCTGCTTCAGCTTTCCAAGCTGCTGGGACTACAGGTGTGGGCCATGGCACCTGGCTTAACCTAACTTCTTCTGAGAGAGTAAACACCACAGAAAGACTCGTACAACTCCTGCAGCTAACGAGAGCATTCAGCAGAGCCCAGGATGCAAGATCACAAACAAAAATCACCCGTGTCTCTGCACATTAGCAGTAAACAAGTGGAAACTGAAATGCAAAACCTCTACCGCTTATAATAGTTGCAAAAGAAAGAAAGAAAAAAGGAAATACGTGGGCATGACAAGCCTGCACACCACACCCAGGATGTTCTAACAGCACCCACAAGACGGCTGGGCTGCGCACTCCAGGATGCTCACGAGGGGAATGAGGCCTTCATAAATGGAGAGGCCATCACTGCTGTGTACTGGAAGATTCACCATAGTAGAGATGTCCTTCTCCCCTAAGGGAATCCATTTCCAGGGCTGCCATCACAGCCAGATGAGAACCACTGGGCTCGCAGCTCTGCAGGCGGAGGTCCGGCCAGCCATGAGCAGGCGTGCTCTGGGGCCCCAGGGAGCCCCTGCTGCCTCTTCCACGCAGCTTCTGGGACTTACCTGCAGCCCTCCGTGCTCTGTGGCTGCAGCTGAAGCACTCCGGCTCCTGCCCCCAATGTCACCGGGTGTTCTCTCTGTGAGTCTGTGACTCTCTGTCTCACCTCCTTTCTTTTTTTCATGCAGGGCTTCCTGGTGGTATAGGCAAACACTCGACCACGGAGCTGTCCCCAACCCTTTTAATTTTTTCATTTTGATACAGTGCTTAAGTTGCCCAAGCTGGCCTTGAACTTGACACATCCTTCTACCTCATCCTCCTGGGTAGCTGGATTATAGGTGTACATACCTGGCTTCGATGGCCCTATATTTCCTTCCTTCCTTCCTTCCTTCCTTCCTTCCTTCCTTCCTTCTTGTATTGAGGATTGAACACGGGGGTGCTTTATCATTAGCTACATCCCCAGCACCCGCCCCTTTTATTTTGAGAAAGTCTTGCTAAGTTACTGAGGGCCTCACTCAGATGCTGAGACTGGCCTCAAACTTCTGATCCTCCTGTCTTGACCTCCTAAATCTCTGGGGTTAGAGGCATGTGTCACTGCACCAGGCTTAAATGGCCCTATTTCTAAGGTTGCGTCTTGAGGAATTGGGGGTTAGGACTTTTTTTTTTTTTTTAAAGAAAGAGTGAGAGAGAGGGAGAGAGAGAGAGAATTTTTTTTTTTAATATTTATTTTTTAGTATTTGGCGGACACAACATCTTTGTCTGTATGTGGTGCTGAGGATCGAACCCGGGCCGCACGCATGCCAGGCAAGCGCGCTACCGCCTGAGCCACATCCCCAGCCCGGGGTTAGGACTTTAACATTTCTTTTGGGGGACACAATTCAACCCATAACAGTGACCTATACACAATTCTAATCAAAAGCTAGCAATAATTTTTTTTTTTTTTTTTTTTAGATGTAGGCAACCTCATTCTAAAATGTATTGGGAAGGGGCTGGGGATGTGGCTCAAGTGGTAGCACGCTTGCCTGGCATGCATGCGGCCCGGGTTCGAGCCTCAGCACCACATACAAACAAAGATGTTGGGTCTGCCGAAAACTAAAAAAAAATAAATATTAAAAAATTCTCTAACTCTCTCTTTAAAAAAAATCCTTAAATTGTCTAACTTTAAAATAAATAAATAAAAATAAAATGTATTGGGAAAGGCAAAGAAATTAGAATAGCTAAAACAATTTTGAAAAAGACAATAAAGATGCAGGAATGGCTGGGCGTAGTAGCCCATGCTTGTAATCCCAGCAGCTCAGGAGGCTGAGGCAGGAGAATGGCAAGTTTAAGGCCAGCCTCAGCAACTTAGCAAGGCCCTAAGCAACTCAGAGAGAACCTTTCACTCAGGCACCACAGCTAAGATCAACTCAAAGGAATCCGAGATTCATAGAACTTCCTGGGAAAGACAGGAGAAGCTCCCTTCATGACCCAGGGTCGTCCAAGAGTCCTCAACATTGAGACTAAAAGCCTGATAGTGAAAGAAAAAAACAGTAAGTTGGATTTTATCAAAATTAGAAACCCTTTGCTCCGCGAAAGACAAGGTAAAAAGGATGCGATTGCAAGTTATAGGCTGAAAGACTATATTCACAAATCACATGTTTTACTAAAGACCTGTCTCCAGGCTGGTGGTGATGGCACGTGACCACGAACCCAGAGACCTTCAAGGCTGGGCAGGAGGGCGGGGCGTTTGAAACCAGCCCCAGCAACATAGCGAGAAAGTCAGCCAGCAAATTAAAAGTGGGGGAGTTGAAGAGACACCTAACCAAAAAGGAAATGCAGATGACCAGTTCATGAAAAATGCTCAAGATCCTCAAGCATCGTATAAATACAGAGTAAAATCACTCTGTCCCAGCATTCCCATTTCTAGATATTTACCCCAGAGAAATAAAAACTTACGTTCACACAAAAACCTGTACAAGAGCCAGGTGCGGTGGGACGTGCCTGTAAACCCAGCGAATTAAGGAGGCTGAGGCAGGAGGATTGTGAGTTCAAAGCCAGCCTCAGCAACTTAGCAAGGCCCTGAGTGACTCAGCAAGACCCTGTCTTTAACTAAAATAGGGCTGGAGATGTGGCTCAGTGGTTAAGTGCCCCTGGGTTCAATCCCCGGTACAAAAAAACAAAAACCAACAAAACACTTAACAAGAATGTTTATAGCAGCTTTATTCATAATCACTAAGAACTGGAGGCAGTTGGAACATGGTGAATGAACAAATGAACTGTGGTACGCCCACGCCTTGGAATACTACTCAGTAATAAAAAGGAACAAACTATTGGTGCATTGAACAGCAAGGATGAAAGAGGCCAGTCTTGGGAAGGCTGCAACTGAGTGGCACAGTGACAGCAGAAGATACCAAACAGGGTCATGAGGACAGTGCAGAGGTTACTAGGGTTGGGCGGGGGAGGACTAGAGGGGACCTCATGGGGGAGCTTTTCTGGTTGATGAAACTGTTCAGAATCTTGATTGTCACAGTTATATGCCTTTGTACATGTCAAAGTCATAGAACTGCATACCAAAGGAGGTCAAGACTACTATCTGATTAAAAAAAACCCAGCCAGGTGCAGTGGCCCATGCCTGTGATCCCAGAGGCTCAGAGGCTGATGCAGAAGGACCATAAGTTCAAAGCCAACCTCAGCAACAGCCAGGCACTCATCAACTCAGTGAGACCCTGTCTCTAAATAAAATATAAAATAGGGCTGGGGACGTGGTTCAGTGGTTGAGTGCCTGAGTGCCTGAGTTTAATCCCTGGTACCCCCACAATAAAAAGAATAAAAAAGCCCTATATCCAGGACTGGGGCTGTGGCTCAGTGGTAGAGGAGCACTTGCCTAGCAAGTATGAGGTAGGTCCTGGGTTCAATTCCAGCACCAGAAAAAACAAAAACAACAACAAAGAACCTCAGATCTTATATAAAATTTTTATCAATTTAGAAAAAAGTAAAATTGAATTTTAGAAAATGCCAGCAGCACATCTCCCTCCCTCCCTCTCTCCCTCTCTCTCTCTCTCTCTCTTTCTTTCGTGCTGGGATTGAACCCAGGGCCTTGTGCAGGCGAGGGGAGCCCTCTACCAACCGAGCTGTATCCCCAGCCCCAGAAATACACTTCTGACTAGGGTGACCCCTTTGTCACCTGCAGGTCTGCACTAGGCGGGAGGGTCAGTGAGGGGCTGTTTCAGCAGCTGGAAGAGCTGAGGAGAGCCTGAGCTGTGGCGGGAAGTGGCCAGAGGCATTGACCTGGGACAGGCCAGTTCCAGGGTGAGGACTTTCCCGGGGCCACTTACTGCATGGATCTGAGGCAGAGCGATGCACTCAGGTAAGAAGGCGGTAGAGGCTGGGTCACATGGCAGGGAGGCTGTCTCAGAGCCAGTGATGTCACTATGTCACTGCAGAGCAGGCCTGGGGTCCAGGCCCTGCTGCGGGGGTTTGGACGTGGGTCCTCCTGAGAGGGCAGCGATGCCGGCCAGGCCTGCAGTGGCGTGGGGGCTCCACCAGGGCTGTGGGGCCCCTTCCCAGGGGCTCACCAGGGCTGTCGGCTGGTGGTCTTGGTCCCAGCTTCTCTCCACAGGCTGATGGAGCATCCTGGTGACTTGGTGGACAGCATCCCCCAGAGTGTGTGACCCCAGACTGAGCGCTAGGCAAATGCCTTTCAGCTCCTCCATGGGAGCCAGGCCTGGCCAGTTGTGCAGTAGTGTTACCCTTGCCATGTGGGAGGGACAGCGGGGCTCAGTGCCAGGAGGGGTGTGTTCTTGGCATCGTAGCTCAGCAAGGGCAAGAGACCGAGCTGACCTGGGCCTGGACCCCCTGCGCCCCCCATGCTGCAGCTGCGCCGTGTGAGGCAGGGACAGGCAGGGTGGCACAGTGGTCAGGGCGCAGGGCAGGCCTTCATGCCCGTGTGATCCCTGCTGGGCCCCTGCTGAGGCCGCTGTGTTGGCCAGAAGTGCCCAGTCACTGTCGGCGCTGGGGAGGACATGCCTGGCAGGCCAGGGGAAGCCCCTGTGTGACCACTTGGCTGTCATGCCTCAGCCTTACAGGGGACACCGCCTCCATCCTTGAGGGCTGTGGGGAGGAGCAGGATGGAGGCCCGTGGACGGCGCTGGACTGGTGCCTGCCCATCATAGCTGCTCGCACAGAGCTCCCTGGGTTACTGTCCCTGCTCTGTTCTCTGGTGGCCTCCTGGTTGCCAGCCCTGAGGCCCTCCCAGCCCTGCCCCACCTGCCTTGCCACTCCCTCCATCTGACTGCCAGCCGCACAGCCCCCTCCTCTGTTCCCTTTGCTCACGGCTCTCCCAGGTGGGGCGCTCCTCCCAACCCAGGGCACTGTGCCCCTCAGGCCTCCTTCTGGTACCTTCCGCCTGGCCACAGGCTGGAGCGCAGCTGGGGTGGTGGGATCCACACAGCTGCAGAGGGGCGGAGGGCAGCCAGCTGAGCTGGGAACCCCGGGCTTGGGGTGGCAGCCACTTCCACTGCACTGCGGCAAGAGGGTCACACAGGAACGGGGTGAGCGGTAAGTGGGTCACAGGACTCCGGGACGGGCAGCCAGCAGGGGCTGCAAACTGGGCCTTTTCCATCTGCGACTTGGACGTTCAGTAGTTCAACAGAACTTTAATTGATCTGGAGGAGGGTAATCTGAGGGCTCAAGGGCTGACAGAATCCCTGTCTGTGTCCCCTGGGTTGCTCAGGCACCTGCAGTCCCTGGTGGGTGGTGCTCAGCTCTGGAGCCGCGTGGTGGAAGCTCCTGCTCAGCCTCACCAGCGGCTCCGTGGGAGGGTAACAAAGGCCCTGCGTCCTGATTAACTGATCTGACAAACCATCTGTCACCACAGCCCTGAGCCACACTGCGGAACTGCCTGGTGTGTCACCAGGCTGGAGTCCGCCTCGCGATTCTCACCCAGATCCCTAAGCCACCCCCTCATGGTCAGTCCAGACCCCCGGGAGTGACCCCGTGGCCTGCTCCTCCTTGGAGACTCCTGAATGAGGAGGACCAAGGGCGGGTTGTCCTCAGCCCTGAGGGGACTTCCCATGGTGAAGGTGAGCAGAATGTGCCCCTTCAAAACAGTGGGGACATGCCCCCGGCCCATCTGCCCCCCACACCTCCCAGGAGCACAGGGCGCCCTGGAGAGTCTCCACGGAACGTAGGAGCAGCCCGCTGGGTGGACAGGAGGGTCCCACGGCCGCAGAGCTGGGAGCTGAAGGAACGCCAAGAAGCCGGGTGCCTGGTCCCTGCTGAGAGGCTGTCAAGGTGCCCTCATCTGTGTCTCTGAATGGGTGATTTCTGCCACCCTGGGGTGAAGCCAGCTCTGGGGAAATGCTTCCCACCTGGGCCTTTGTGTGGCTGACCTTCAGGAGGGAGGAGGGATGGTATCCCGGTCAGCAAGATTCCCAGTGCCCGTGGGCAAACGCCCTGTCTCAGGAGGCTTCCACCAGGACACCTATGCTCTTTTGTAACAGGGTGAACAGAGAGGCTGGCTGATTGAGTGGCTCAACAGTATCATCAAGGACCAAGGTTGTGCCAGGTGTGGTGGCGCACAACTGTCATCCTAGAGTTCAAGAGCCTGAAGCAGGCCTGGGTTTGTGGCTCAGTGGCAGAGTGCTGGCTTTGCATGCATGAGGCAGGGGGTTCGATCCTCAGCACCACATAAAAATAAATAAAATAAAGATGAAGATATTGTGTTCATCTACAACTAAAAAAAATAACATAAGATAAAAAGAGGCTGAGGCAGGAGGCCTGCAAGTTTGAGGCCAGCCTCAGCAATTTAGTGAGGCCCTAAGCAATTTAGTGAAACCCTGTATCAAAATAAAAAGGGTTGGGGATGTGGCTCAGTGGTTCAGCATCGCAGAGTTCAATCCCTGGTACGAAAACAAAACAAAACAAAACAGAAAGGACAAGGTCATTTTCAATTTTCATCTCTACCACTGCTGAAATATCAAAATTTTCCTCATAGTCACAAGATGGTTGCTTGTTACCAAGCATTATATCTAGACATGACAATGTACAGTGAGGATGAACTTTCCCAGAAGCGAGCGGCCAATAACCTCTTCTCTCTCTCTCTCTCTCTCTCTCTCTCTCTCTGTGCTGAGATCAAACCCAGGCCCTTGCACCTTCCAGCAAGCGCTCTACCACTCAGCTGCAGTTCCAGCTGTCCTTGTGTCTCACTGGCCATATTTATTCTCCATTTGCTCTTTTACAAATGGAATCTTCTGAGTGTCTTGTGTTTCTGTGCACCGTGTGGGCAGGGGTGCCATGTGCCCTTTGTTCCAGGCTCTTTTCAAGGGGTTTGTAGAGCCAGCAGTCTCAGAAGATAGTGTTTTCTTTTAGGTTAAAGGGCAGGTTTGCTTGGGTCCCCTTCTACAGTTTTCCTAAGCTCTGGGTTCCTCTCCTGTGGTACAACCCACTGCAGTCACAAGACCACCTCGCCGCAGTGGAGGCTGGGAAATGTAGTCTTTATCTGGATACTGGGGTGCTTAGCTAAAACTCCAAATTATTTTTTCTTTTCTATTGTGCCAGGGATTGAAACCAGGGGTGCTTAACCACTGAGCCACATCCCCAGCCCTATTTTTTGTATTTTATTTAGAGACAGGGTCTCACCGATTTGTTTAGCGCCTTGCTTTTTGCTGAAGTTGGCCTTGAACTAGTGATCCTCCTGCCTCAGCCTCCTCAGCTGCTGGAATTACAGGCGTGGGACACCGTGCCCAGCTAAAACTCCAGTTTCTAAGAAAGAAGGGAGAAAGGACTGGGGGGTAGGGAGGCGTTTGCAGTCTCTGCCAGTTACCCCCATAGATTAGGGTTCTACTAGGAATTCAGGAGAAATGGCCTTGGCCAGGCGACAATGCCTAGCGCCACATGCCCATGTTACAGAGGAAGAATGGGGTCCCGAGAGGCAGGGTGGGAACCTGTGCTCCATTGTGACAGGCGAACACTCTGCACTCCAGGTTCGCTTACCCGGTCTTGGGGTTCCCCGGCTTTCCCAGTCTCTGCTCCAGCACAGGTTGGGGGCGTCCGGGTGGGGAAGCCTCCTGCAGCCTCTAGTGAAGGCTGCCTCTGCTTCCTCCCACGAGCCCCCTCTGTCCTGCGGCTGCTCAGGGGGTGGTCCCTCCCTCAGGTCCCTCTCCACTTCTTTCAGGCCTGTCGCCGACACACCCCACAAACATGCTTGTGTCCCGCTCTTGCCAGGCTCAGTCCCGGCTCCATGCTTTGCCAGGCCGACTGGGCATCTGTGACGCCTCTTCCTCTCCCTCCCTGCGATCCCCTGCGTCGGGGACGTCACTGTCCTGCCTCACCTGCCTCCCCAAAGCCTGAAGCACTCAGCTTCCCTGTTTTTTTGTTTTTTTAGTGCTGGGCACTGGAATCCAGGGCCTCACACATGCTGGGCAGGTGCTCTGCCACCGAGCACACCCCAGCCCTGGCCAAAAAATACCTTCCTAAAATGGTATTTTTCTTTCTATTTTCTTCCTGTTCTTGTTTTAAAATCTTCCATGGCTCACCATTGTTCTCAGTATAAAGACCAAAATTCTCTTCTTAGTACAACAGAACAGTCTCTCTTCCCCATTATCCATTCTTTTCTTTTTTGGGGTTCCAGGGGTTGAACTCAGGGGCACTCGACCTCTGAGCCACATCCTCAGCCCTATTTTGTATTCTATTAGAGACAGGGGCTCAGTGAGTTGCTCAGTGCCTTGATAATTGCTGAGGCTGGCTTTGAACTCTCAATTCTCCTGCCTCCGCCTCCCAAGCCCCTGGGATTACAGACGTGTACCACTGTGCCTGGCCCATGCTTTTATTTTTTAAAAGTCATTTTCCTTTTATTACTCTTTGGTTGTTTGGGGTACTAAAGAATGAACCCAGGGCCTCACACGTACTTGGCAAGTGCTGTCCCTGAGCCACATTCCCAGCTCTTTTTAAGACAGGAGTTCACCAGGCCCAGTGCTCCACATCTGTAATTCCAACAATTCAGGAGGCTGAGGTAGGAGGATCACAAGTTCAAGGTCAGCCTCAGCAACTAGAAAGGCCCTACACAACTCAGTGAGACCCTGTCTCAAAATAAAAAATAAATAAATAAATAAAAAGGGCTAGGGACATGGCTCAGTGGGGTTTAATCAACAGTACAAAAAAAAAAAATGGGGTTGGGATGTGGCTCAAGCGGTAGCGCACTCACCTGGCATGCGTGCGGCCTGGGTTCGATCCTCAGCACCACATACAAACAAAGATGTTGTGTCCGCCGAAAACTAAAAAATAAATATTAAAAAAATTCTCTCTCTCTCTCTCTTTAAAAAAAAAATGACAGGGTCTCGCTAAGTCGCCTAGGCAGGCTTCAAACTCTGGACCCTTCTAGCTCAGCCCTTCAAGTGGCTGGGATTACAGGTGTGTGCCACACCCAGCTGAGCACAAGCCCATTTAAATAAAGACTCCATTCCCAGCCTTCCTTTTAGCTAGGTGGGGCCACATGACTAAATCCTGTCCTTACATGGCTGTGGGGTGAGGCTTCTTTTGCCCCTTTATTTTCCCTACGGATAAATGCAAGCCTGGTGATTGACACTCCACCATCTTGGACCACAGGAAGAAGGAGTGCAGCAATATGGCAGCAGGAGGCTGGCCTGACCTCGACCGGGGCTGGCCCTGGCCCTACCTATCTTTAGTGATGGGAAACAGTCAGGGACCTCCTAGTTCAAGTCATTTATTTTGGATGTTCTCTTGGCTCAGCCAGATCCCACCCAAATCACAGGCCCCTGCTGGTCCTGCCCTGTGCACTCTGCAGCAGCCAGTGAGATGTGGCTGTGGGTTCTCAGTCTCTTCTGCACCCCCAGCTGGTCCTGTCTCAGGCCTTTGTACATGCTCTCCCCTCTGCCTGAATCCCCATCCCCACCGGCTTTTTCTGGCCATCTCAATGCACCCTTCAAGATTTAGCCAGGGTGTTGCTTGCTCAGGGGAGACTTCCCACATGCAGTGTCCTACCTAGAGTATTGGTACCCAGAGCAGATTTTTTTTTTTTTTTATGGTGCTGGGGATTGAACCCAGGGCCTTGTGCATGAGGGGCAAGCACCCAACCAACTGAGCTATATCTCCAGCCCCTTAGAGCAGATAATTTTTAAAAATATCCCTCCTCTCTATATTAATTTCCTTATTATGATTATTATTCATGAATAATAATGACCAACAAAAATACAGTAAAATTTTTATTTTATTGAATTTCGTGTATATAATTATCATAGTAAAAAATAAAATAGAACAATCATGATAGTGCAAAAAATAAAGAAATAATGGATTAATATTGTAATTTTTAATTTTATTGGCAAAAGGGAAAAATGTCTATCTGCACCTATTGCGATCACGACTCAACGTCACAGTCTCCGGACTTCTGCAAATCTGACCATGACATCATCAGAATCGATCTTTGCATATTCATGATTTGAAAAGAGCACAGGCAGATTTGTTAATCTATCTCACTCATGATTGATTGAGCAGCATTTTTTATTTTTATTTGGAAACCTCTTTTCTCACATGAAGCAATAAATGCACAAATGTTAGGGAAAGCCTTCAACATAAGGATAAGTTTGGCAGAAAATCAAAAAAAGATCCATTTCACAATAAATTCCAGAAATTACAGTATCGTCAAAGTCTGTTTCTTTGGGATTCATCGTAGCAGCTTTCAAATATCTTCCCATTTTAAGCCAATAAAACTCAAGTGGTCACCTAAAACCATGCTACCAGTGTTTCTACCAACCCCACTGCTTCAGCTCAGGATGACGCAGGACAACAGGGACCCCAGGCCAGAGGGAAGAGTTCTGAGTCCATGTGAAGCCCAGCAGCTGGGTCCCCCTCCTTGGGAGCGGCTGCATAACTGGGAACTCTCCCAATTAACTTCCAAGTAGCATGTAGTGTTTATTAAAGGGTAAGTAATAAAAATGTGTTAATTTGAAACTTACATAGATATTATTAAAAGTCAACAGTAACTGAAGCAATTGTTGAGGTCTTAAACCATCAAAAGAATCTGGGGGGAGGCCATTGTTTAGGATTGCTGGTGTGCGGTGATAATAAAGAGCAGACAGGCTTTTAGTTGGTTCTTATTGTTTTAAAATTTGTTCCTGACAGCATCTCCTCCCTCTGCCTGCACGTGCGGGGTGGCTGCTGCATGCCTGCCCTTGGCGCATACTCCTGGGTCTGCCTCCTGACAATTCCTTCTGAGGCTCTGACCTCAATTATGAGTCCATATTGTGCTTGTATCATGATCCCTGGGTCCTGTTCCTCACCAGACTGTCCTTTCTGTGTGGGGCAATCACTGTGGTTCATGGCTGTGCTCATCTCTTGGCAGAGTACTTGGTACCCAGAAGGCCTTCAGAACATGTTTGTTGAATGAATGTATGTGAAGAAGCTGCCACAGGGTATGGACTCAATAAAGTCAGTGACAATGGCTATGATCTGTGGCATATTTATAATATGAAATGTAAGAAGCCTGCCACCAGCCTGGTGGGGTGTGGCACTCCTGTAATCCCAGTGACTCTGAAGGCTGAGGCTGGAGGATCACAAGTTTTGAGGCCAGCCTGGGCCAGCAAGACCCCTATCCCAAAATGAAAAATAAAAAGGGCTGGGAGTGTAGCTCAGTGGTAGAGCGTCCCTGGGTTCAATCCCCAGTACCA